AATGGCCTAGGCTCACACGCCAAGGGCTCGCAAACAACCCCTCCTTCCGAGCGAAAACGATGCGCGAGGGTCATACAAAAGCCGGGGAACTCCCGATCGCCTCTCTCGCTACGTCAGGGAGGCTCGGGGGCTCTTCCTGCAATCATGCCGAGACCCAATGGCCTAGGCTCGCACGCCGAAGGGCTCGGCAAACAACCCCCCCTCCTTTTGAGCGAAAAGGATGCGCGAGGGTCGCATAAAAAGCCGGGGAACTCCCCGATCGCCCTCTCGCTATGTGCGAGGCTCAGGGCTCTTCCCTGCAACCTTGCCGAGACCAGGGGCCCTAGGCTCGCACGCCAAGGGCTCGGCAAACAACCCCTCCTTCCGAGCGCGAAAAGGATGCGCGAGGGTCGCATAAAAAGCCGTGGAAACTCCCGGGTCACCCTCTCGCTTCGCAAGGAGGCTCGGGGCTCTTCCTGCAACCTTGCCGAGACCCAGTGGCCTAGGCTCGCACGCCAAGGGCTCGGCAAATAACCCCTTCTTCCGAGTAAAAAGGATGCACGAGGGTCGCATAAAAAGCCGGGGAACTCCCCGATCGCCCTCTCGCTTCGTCGGAGGCTCGGGGCTCTTCCCCTGCATACACCCCGAGGGTCGGAAAACGCGATGAAAAAGGGCACCTAGCCCATTACGGTCCGTAGGTTCAAGGTGGGCCATTTATGGTCTCGACAAATTACCTCAGATTTACAGTAGTCGAGGACAACTATGGGCGAGCCCATACATGGCCGAGGCCCGTGCAAGCGATTGCTTGGGATGCCCTAAGTCGTGTCCGAGACCAAAGCAGGAGTTCTCTAAAGGGATCCCACCGTAGGGAGGCACCGAGCCCCTAGGGCCAATCGAACGCCCCGCACCCGCTAGAGAAGCCTTCAGTACTTTTTTGAGCGTGTCTCGACCACTAGCCGACCCCTATCGAATTGGGCATGGGCCTCAATCGGACTTACCCAATAAAAGCTCACCGAAACGCCACCGCTCAAGGCGCCATCGAGGGTAGCTCGGCATGTTCCACCCCTCCTTTCGAGCGAAAAGGAAGTGCGAGGGTCGTTACAAAAGCCGGGGAACTCCCGATCGCCTCTCTCGCTCCGTCATGGAGGCTCGGGGCTCTTCCTGCAACCTTGCCGAGACCCAGCCTAGGGCTCGCACGCCAAGGGCTCGCAAACAACCCTCCTTCCGAGCGAAAAGGATGCGCGAGGGTCGCATACAAAAGCCGGGAACTCCTAATCACCCTCTCGCCACGTCTGCGGAGGCTCGGGGCTCTTCCCGCAACCTTGCCGAGACCCAGGGCCTAGGGCTCGCACGCCGGGGGCTCGCAAACAACCCTCCTTCCGAAAGCGAAAAGGATGCACGAGGGTCGCATACAAAAGCCGGGGGAACTCCCGATCGCCTCTCGCTACGTCAGTGAGGCTCGGGGCTCTTCCTACAACCTTGCCAAGACCCAGTGGCCTAGGCTCGCACGCCAAGGGCTCGGCAAACAACCCCTCCTTCCGAGCGAAAAAGGATGCGCGAGGGTCGCATAAAAAGCCGGGGGAACTCCCGATCGCCCTCTCGCCACGCAGCAGAGGCTCGGGGCTCTTCCCGCAACCTTGCCGAGACCCGGGCCGGCCTAGGCTCGCACGCCGCCGAAGGGCTCAACAAACAACCCTCCTTCGAGTGAAAAGGATGCGCGAGGGTCGTAGAAAAGCTGGGAACTCCGAATCGCCCTCTCGCTACGTGCGGAGGCTCGAAGGCTCTTCCTGCAACCTTGCCGAGACCCAGCGGCCTAGGCTCGCACGTGAAGGGCTCGGCAAACAACCCCTCCTTCCGAGCGAAAAAGGATGCGTGAGGGTCATACCAAAAGCTGGGAACTCCCGATCGCCTCTCGCTACGTCAAGGGATCGCACGCGAGGGCTCTCAGCAGCTCGGGGCTCCTCCTGCACCCCAAACGAAAACAAGCGACCCGAGCTCGCTCTCATGGGTCTAGCAAATGCGATAGAGCGCCTCACTCAACGAAGAAAAAGCCCCTAAAGGAGTAAGCTCACTCCTCTAGGGCCTCGGGGGCTACACCGTGGGAGGCCACAAGCACTCCACCGGAATCGCAAGTATAAAACAAACCCGACAAGAGCCACCGAGAAACAAAAGTCTCGACAAAACTCGTGGAGAGTATCCCACACTCCCGCCCGAGGCTCGGGGCTACTTGCTCGGATACCGTAAAATGGGGTACCCCAAGCAAAGATCGAAAAACTGCTTAGACCCTAAAAATAGAACCAACGGAATAAACAAACGAGGTCTCGGCCAAAATCTCCGATTCGCCCGAGACCCCGTCGCCCCCCCAATGAAGCAAACGATTCTCCGACTACTTGAGACCGCCTCGCCGAGGCCCCCTCGTCGAGGCCCGCTCGTCGAGCCCCTCTCGCCCGGGCCTCGGAAGAAGTGCCGATTCTCCGATTCAATGAGGTCGGCTCGGACCAGCCCGTGACCGCCTCTTTTTGACCGAATCGCTCGACCGAACGTCGATCTAAGCGCCCAACCACTCCGACAGACGCTTATCGATGGCACAATCAAAATAAGTGACCGACTACACGCCGGTCGCGTCAACCTCCTCGCCATCTGCGCGACAAGACAGAGAGCAGGGTTACCGACCACCGTGCTTTGCCCTAACTCCCCGCACCAAAGACATCGCGTGGGGAGTCGAATGGGTTCCTCAGTAGCCTCGGAATCGGCCGGACCGACCGCTCCTGCTCGCCTGAGCCCCCTCGATGAGGCCTCAGATTCACGATCTTTCTCCGCCTCGCCCGTCCGCCTCGCCGAGACCCCCTGTAGGGGCCTCGAACGAATTGGCATACCGCCTCGCCCGAGGCCGGGCTCGCCCCGCAACCTCGTCGCCGCCTCAAAAGGTCTCTCCGGCGGGTTGTCGCATCCGACACGCGCCACCGCACCCGCTCGTAAGCCACGATCGGTAGTCTTGGCCAGCAACAGAGCGATGGGACAACGGTCGAGATCACCTTTTTACCATCCCTACTAACAACACAGTGTATCAGATCCTCGTGGGGCGCCGTCTCGACTGCTTTCGCTTTGATGGCCGCTTAAGACCCGCATACGCACTGGTCATTTCTGGGCTTCTCGGCACAACAGCCTCGGCATGATCGGCTATGATTTCTCGGGCCTCGGCTGTGAGGCCTCGGCCTAACGACCGGCTATGATGGCCGCCGAGCTTCGCAATCCACCAAGCCAACAAATGCGCAAAGATGTTACTTGCATAGAGACCATACCGATTAGACATCTCACGGAACTCCTACTACGACAACGCCATGTCGCCTCCGAGGAGTAAATACGTCATCGAATAGTCCGCTCCACGTGTAGCTCTCTTATGTACTCCTGGTTTCCTCCCTGCGGCTATAAAAGGAGGCGTCCAGGACCGTTTCTAGGGACGGCGGATAGAGTCACGAATACTCGCACGAACAACACGCCTCATTATATAATTCATATCACCTCCCCTCACAGAGATCTAGGACGAACCTCCTCTCTCGCCTAGCTTGTAACCCCCTACTACGAGCACCCCGGTGCAAGGAATACAAGAACATCTTCTCAGACTGGACGTAGGGCATCCATTGCCCGAACCAGTATAAACCTTGTGTCTCTTTGTATCACCATCCGAAATTGGGAGCACGCAACACAAATTCACTAGTCGGTTAAGGACCCCCGGTTCCGAAACGCCGACACTATCTTTTATGAAGACTTATGTAATATTGATTGAAACATTATGATTGCGATATCTATTTTAGATAACACGATAACATACGCTCATATATATGTTATCGTGCTATTATGTGTTCCCGTTGCAACGCACGGGCATTTATCTAGTAAAGATATAAATATAGATAGATCGAAGGTAAAACAATTCGAATTTAAAACTCAACTTGGTAAACAAATAAATGGAAAATGCCTTCTAAAACTTGTAACACAAATCTACAAACAAAAAATATAGATATTGATAGATTGAAGACAATTGGCCCGTTCGGCTTGCTGAAACTTGACTGAAAGTGGCTGAAAAACACTGTTCTGGCTAAAATGTTGTGAGAGAGAAATAATGTTCCGGTTGAAAAAAAGAAGCCGAACAAGCCAGATATAAGGTAAGCCGAACGGGGAAAATAATTAGAATTCAAAACTCAACTTCTTGGTAGACAAAAAAAAAGAGGAGTTCCAAATATATATGTTAGAGCCCTCTACACTCAGTAAAGTGGAGCCTTTTTCTGTCATATAAATGCACTAGATAGAAAAGTAATAATTGAAATTCTATTCTAACAATGCCAAGACGTTATCCGTCTTTAGAGGATACTACCTGTTCGCTTCCCGAAACTTCTCCCCGACCATCTTCTTTTCCCATGCCGGCCCCCACCTACAGTCCACCAGTCGCTCCACGCCGACGGATGCCGTCCAAGGGCCCCTTCGCGCCACGTGTCGAACGGACGATCACGCTTTCCTCGGGATCTCCAACGTCCTCCAGACTTGCTCGCTCTTGGGCCCCGTGTCCGACGACGTGGCCGCGATGCAGTGTTGGAGACGGAGCCTCCCCTGTCCACGACTTTAGGCTTAACCCTTAAGTACCAATCCCGCGGTTACCCCATTTCTACACCCTCATGTGCGGTGTCACTGCTGGTGGGCCTGAATATGTGCCTGGCGCCTTGATTCGCCGTTAAGCGAAGGGGGTAGGCGGGATCCCTTTCCGTGGGGACACCTACCTGCGCGGATTCAAACGGCACTGGCTCGCATCCAACGGCAGCCGCCCGTTCAAACGGAGGTCGACGGCGAGGATCGCATCAAGCGCCGTTTATAAAACGACTTGGCCTTGCTACACGCACACGCACACGCACACGGCGTCTTTGTGTGAGCATACCGCGCAGCAACGAAAGGGGAACAAGAAGAACCAGCCAACAAGCTTGCGACTGTGGTTTCTCATCTGAGCGGCGGAGAGAGAGAGAGAAGGGAGCATGGCCGACCACAAGGAGGAGCCTGTGCTGGAGTCTGTGATGGACAAGATCACCGAGAAGTTCCACGGCGGGGACTCGTCGTCGTCGTCTGACTCGGACGACGAGAAGAAGAAGGGGTCCTCGTCGGCGTCGGCGGCGGAGGCCGTGAAGGCCAAGATCTACCGCCTCTTCGGCCGCGAGAGGCCCGTCCACTCCGTCCTCGGCGGCGGCAAGCGTAAGCCCCCTTGATTTGTGTACCCGATTCGCTCCTGGTTTTCTCTAGATCCGATCCGATCTAGTTATATACTGTATGTGCTTGCTCGTGCCACCTTGGACCGCTACTTCTTGCTGCTGCAAAATAGTTCGTCACTTTGTTAGTAAGCTGCTTTATGGTTTGAAACTGAAAAGTGTTTGGACCGTGGTTGTGGCATCTGTAGCGTATTTGCTAAGTAACTTGAAGATTTCTCTTTGACTCGATCCGTTATAGCGGTTAGCGGCGGCAGCTTGTTGTTACCCTTAAACCCTAACATGCTCTGTTCGATCTGGACTTAGGGACGGATCTGGAATGTTTAGCTGTCCACTTGTTTATTAGGGATGTTTGGACTGATGCGGTTATTTCTTTACAAATGCGCTTGCAGCTGCCGATCTTGTCCTTTGGAGGAACAAGAAGATCTCAGGCGGGGTACTTGCTGGTGCTACGGCCATCTGGCTCCTATTCGAGGTTATGGAGTACCACCTCCTCACCTTGTTGTGCCACTGCCTCATCCTCTCGCTGGCCATCCTCTTCCTGTGGTCCAATGCCTCCACTTTCATCAACAAGTGAGCTTTTGGGCTTCCTAATGTTCTGATTGCCATGACATGAGCAAAACTTTATAAGATTTTTAGTTTATGGCGTTGCTGATTTTCAGGTCCCCACCAAACATTCCTGAGGTTAAAATTCCTGAGGATTTGGCTGTAAATGTTGCACTGTCACTGAGATATGAGATCAACAGGGGCTTTGCTACTTTGAGGGAGATAGGACATGGCTGTGATCTGAAGAAATTCCTAATTGTATGTTGGTTCTCTTTCAGCATTTTGTGCTGAGTGGAAGGAAATTCTTGGTACCGTGCTGATGCCCGGCACTTTTTTCTTCAGGTTATCGCAGGTCTCTGGCTTCTTTCAGTTCTTGGGAGCTGCTGCAACTTCCTGACACTGTTCTATATTGGTAATGATCGTGATTCCTCTGTTACTAACGTTTCTCTTGGTGTTGATTCAAGTTTTGAATGAAATTTTATGCCTCTATTGCAGTCTTTGTGGCACTGTACACTGTACCAGTTCTGTATGAGAAATATGAGGACCAGGTTGACGCCTTTGGTGAGAAGGCTATGATTGAACTGAAGAAGTATTATGCTATTTTCGATGAGAAGTGCCTATCGAAGATTCCAAAGGGCCCCCTTAAGGATAAGAAGCACTAGATTGGTAGTAAGGTACTTGCTATGAATCAACACCTACGTTAAGTCACTACCTGTCACCTCCTTCTCTGAAGGATGGTGCTTGGTCCTGGTCTCTAGTTGATAGTATCTAATCTGTATGGGCAACTCTGGTGTGACTGACAGTTGTTTTGCTGATCTTTAAAGTCATGTCAGCTGAAAATTGTTGATCTTGTTTTTGGTTTCAACTTTCAGCATAGTTGCCTGGAAGCTTGAAATATATTATGTGCTCTATCAATGTCATGTGAACTTTGTCCTACACCTTTATTATTGACTTGGCGCCTTTGCAAGTGCTAGGCTAGTGAAGTGTGCACATTTCTGTTCATATGCAATGGTAGTATTTTATTTGATCTAATATGATAATGTGGTCCATTGTCTTGAGGTGTGTGTGCATCCCATATGCATCATTGCGTGAAAGTTACTTGAGTGAAGGTCCCAGCAGAGGCTTGATCTGAAAGTATGAGAGCTCTCTAACACTATAATCTTCACATATGGACCGTGCCATGTCGTACAATGCCTGAATGTTGCTTGATATTTCACAACATTTCATACCATGGCCACAAATGCACTCAACTATGCGATGTAAATTGTTCCAGTGAGAGTTATATTGGGGGAACGTCGGGCAGATGCTTGATCTGAAAGTACGAGTGCCTAGTTTACCTTCTCATATGGATTGTACCATGTCGTACAATGCTTCAATGCTGCCTATATTTCACTGCATTTCATACCATGGCCACATACATAGGCACTGAACTATGTCTGATGTCTGGACGTCTTTTGACGTTCGCACTTCTAACAAAGGATACAATCTGAATCTGTCAAGGTTATACAATCTAATAGCAGTGCTTCTAGCTAAATGACATATGCTTGGTTTTTAGCCATTTGGGTTCAAATGACCGGGTCTGTTATTTTGTGACTATCAGAATTATAAATTGTGTGACTGCAATTTAGTTTGGGCAGTTTCAATGGTTACACACCTGAAGTGCAATGCCTTTTCATTTCTGAAATGAAGATTGAACCCCCTTGGTTTGCTTAGTAGGTAAACTAGAGAACTGGTGCGCGAGCGTCTTAGTCTGGCCAGTGACCTTCATTTGGATTGGACCATTTGTGTTCGGTGCTAGTTATGTTGTTGCTGCGCCCCTTTGGAATATTGCATTGTCAATGGAGAGTACCAGGCGTCGAGACGTTATCTTTTCTACATTGGAGTTCAGGAACTTATCTCGGCATTACTCTCCTAATATAAAAAGGCCATTGTCATCTTGATTTGAAATAGACAAACTTGTAGATTTAACATTCTAAAGTGGTCTTATACTGCTTCATTTGCTATGGCCACCTGGAATACCAAAGGGAAATTAGAAGACAACCATGCATTATGTACTTTGACACGTCGGCTATATTTTATTACACTATCAAGTATCAATTTAGAGATGTGCATCTGAAGTGGAATGAATACCATAGTGTAATAGTTAAAGAAACAGTTAAATATAGAACATAGAACAATATGTTGCGTTGAATTAAAATTAGTGCAAAAAAATATCTTTGTTCATCTCGGATCACTTTGTAATGCACCTTTGTAGTAACAGGATTGTCCAAGAAAAGAAGAGAACTCGTAGGATTTCAATGATAATGGCCATGGAACTGATTTTTGTAGCGTGAATTGGTCCTCACAGGACAACAAATGCTTTATGCACAGCCTGTTTGCATGTTGGTTTTAGCCAGCTCAAACCAGTCAGTCAACAGTGTTTTTCTCAAAAAAAAATCAGCACCAATCAGCCCAAACCAGCACCAACCAGCGAAAGCTAGGAAATAGTAACAATCAACTAATAGGTTTCGAATGTCTGTCATGGAAAATAGTAACAATCGACGAATAGGTTTCGAATGTCTGTCATGGAAAACAGCGTATGTTAAATTTTAGCTGCAACAATCGCTGTATTTTTCTTGCTATCATTGCTAATGAAGACTCAAGCCATTCATAACTAGAAACTATCTTCACCAACGCAGTATTTTTTTTTTTTCAGAAACCCAAACCAACCATTCTTTCCGTTATTTCTCTCCCTCCTTAGATCCTCTGGCTATTTCCATCGTGTGGCTTCACGTGAACTCCTGACATTTATCTCCTCGCAAGCCGCCGCCTCCAACTTCTGCACGGCGCACCCCTCTGCTTCCGTCGGGCACCACTACCACCTCCTTCGCCACTACGGCGGTGTGCGGGCTCCAAGCGGCGGCAATAGCGGCCGCGCGAGCTCCGTCCGCAAGGTGCGTGAACTCGGCCGCGGTGGAGCTGCCCAACATCGACGAGGGGATAGAACGACGTTGCTCACATAGGCGCGTGAACACGACGTCGCTCGTGGTGGCTTGGAGCGCCGAGGAGGGCTGGAACGACGACGCGTGGCGCGAGGTCAAGCTCGACGGCGCCGCCGCGATCGCAGAAGGTCGAGCACGACGAAGCCGCACGGGATCTGGTTGGAGCGGGTAGAAACGATGCTGATACCCCAACGCAGATTAGGATCGTTTCTTTGGCTATATAGACATGGTTTCTAAAATAGAAATGGTTTCTTCATTTTATCCTCACTCTCCTCAATCGGTCTGATCGCTTGGTCGTAAACGATCGTAAATTTTCAGCCAGAATAATATTTTTTTCTCACGCCAAACCAACCAGTGGTAATAATCTATGATCGTATACGATCGTTTAAGCCCCAGCCGAACAGGCTGAATAAATCTAGTGCAGGACATTGGTGTTGTCTAATAGACGATCTCTTACGTTGCCTAATCTAATAGGTAATTCCTACAATAGATTATTTTTAAGTTATCTCATTATTATTCATGTTGTGATCGCTTACAAATCTCAACTTTGCAGCCTATTTATGTCACGCATAGACATTGTTTAATAAATAAAATATGCAGCACGTTTTTGCTTACAAATCTCAACTATGCAGCTTATTTATGTCACGCATAGACATTGTTTAATAAATAAAATATGCAGCACGTTCAAGTGCTTACAGATCTCAATTTGTAGCTTATTTATGTCACGCATAGACATTGTTTAGTAAATAAAATATGCAGCACGTTCAAGTACTTCTTGGCGCACGTATGCAGCACGTTCAAGTGCTTCTTGGCACACGTCTGGAAGGTCACGGCAGCGGGAGAGGTGACGCCACAAACGATAGAGAAAGGAGATTTGGTGTAGGGGATCCTGGGAAGAGAAAAAGGCGCTTCAGGAAACAACGACCAGAGCATTCAATGGCGAAGCAGTTGTCTCATCCAGTGAAAAAATCGTGGATGAGCCCATTGTTTCACGAGGCAACGACTTGACACTCTCCCCATCCTCTCTATTTCACGTCAGCAAAAATTCTATCAGACAACCTATAAAACTATGGCCTCGTTTAGATTACAAGTTTTTTCGCTCTCTTCGTCACATTAAATATTTGGATATATGCATGGAGTATTAAATATAGATAAAAAAATAATTAATTATATAGTTTGATTGTAAATTACGAGACGAATCTTTTGAGCCTAGTTAGGCTATGATTGGACAATAATTATCAAATACAAACGAAAGTATTACAGGGCCAAATACTGATTCCTAACCTCAATCTAAACAAGGCCCTAATGATGTGTAGTAATGTACTTGCTCAGCTGCCTCCAGGGCTCGAATTACCATGTAACTATAAGCCTGTAATGTAATAGAAATTAATGGGTCCTGCAAACTGAGCAACAGTCAACACTTTCGAAATCCAGAATGTGGCACTTAGATTTTTTTTTAAATGCAGCAGCTGCTTCAGCTGAACGATCGCTAGTCCATTCAGTTGTGCAAACTGACAACATATGCTAATAATCTGAAAACCATACTCAAGCTGTCCTAGAAAAAAGACAGCATTGTAGTTAATCCACTCAATAGATTTTTAGTGCCCCAAACCCCAACTTTGTTTGATAACAGCCCAGGATCACACCTTGTAGACTTGTAGTACAGCATGTGTAGTTAATCCACTCAAAGTAGGAATCTAGGAATTAAGCCACATTGTCCAGCCATTCACTGTCAAGTGATCCAGAAGACGAGAGTACGAGACTCCATACGCTGCACATTCTGTCGAACATCATCGCTCCATCAATCCGCAAGCCAGAAAGGAATGAGAAATGTAACCAAGAAAGAAGGAAAAAGAGCCTGTGGCACTGCAGTAGTAGAGGTGGAATGACTTCAACATTATGCTCAAGCCCTCCCTTTCACGTTTGGCACAATGCAGTTGCAGTCGGATATCGTGCAAGACCAAGACGTCGACATGACTGTAGTTGTTTGTTTTGTCACAGTAATTTCCATAGGCGTCCATCGAATTTTCTTCCACAAAGTTACCGTTTTGTTCCAGATTGGACGACGGACGATAGGCCGGACGCAGCTGATCCAACAAGCTGAAGAGAAGATGACTAGAGCTTAATAATCCTTGCAAATGGTTCGAGCTTTCGATGCTTATTACGAGTGGCCTACAAGGATCTCTTGCAATGGAGAATAGCGTCCCTGATAGCACTTTCTTGGCCTAAATCACACAGCTTAGCCTTGGTGCTGCCGGTATGCTGAGGAGCATCCTTCTCCTTCTCCTTCTCCTCCGTTGCCTTCCTCCTCCAGATGCATCTCACCTTCTTCCGATAAAAGGGCAGTAAGAACCTAAACGAAATCCACCTGTGCTGCTTCCTCCATCTCCCAAAAGACGGCAGCCCGAGTTTGCTCATCCTGAACACGGCGCCCCTTGCGCTCGCGGTGGTCACCGTGCCATGGCCACCGCGGAGATTGAAAGGCGAAGAGTTCTGCGACACGGACTGCCGGGTCGGCGGGTGCTGCCTGCTCGTGGCTGCAGAGGCTATCATCCTCTGAGACGAGTCCAGCGAGAGCGACCGCGTGAGCAACGGCTGCTTATGGCCGTCATCCTGGCCATGCTGGCTCGCGAGATGCAGGGGAAGGAGCAGGCCGTCGAGGAACATCTGGTCGGCGACAGCCATCGCCTCGGTCTGCCCGGACACCGATAGCCGGAAGTCAAAACTGCATTGCGACGCCGACGCAGGGTCGACCGCGATGGAGGAGGCTGTGATGTCGCCTTGGACGATGCGCTCCTCGGGCCGGGGCGTTGGTTTGCTGGTCGGCCAGCTGTACGAGAAGCTGCCGACTTCGGGAAGAAGAGAATAATATGAGGTGGTGTGATCCTGATCCATTGGTGGTGCTGCGGTGGAAGCTCTCTGTCTCTGAGATGGCCATGCATATGGGAGGAGGAGCTGGGGATGTTAGAAACAAGGGTTAATTGGATCTATGTCATTATAATTTTTTTTTTTTGAAGAACGTCATTACTATTCGTATATTTGGAAACATGTCATTACAATTCTTCGTTTCCCACAAAAATGCCACTGAATATGTATGAACACAGCCTGGGCCTAGCTACAGACATATACGAAGACGTATACTTCATCTCCTCTGTCAATGACACGCGGGCCTCACATGTCATCTTCTTCCTCCTCTTCTCCGAATCTCTCTCCATCCCGAGCGCCAGGCCGCCGCGTCACCATTGCCGGGCCTAGCCCGAGCTCCCCGACCTCCCACCACAGACCACCTCCGGTTCCATACGCGGCTCCACCGTTGGCACCGCAGCGACACCACGAGACCGCCCCGCTGCTTCTTGTCGTCGATCCGTGCCCACAGCGCCATTGCCGCGCTCTCCCAAGTGCCGCCGCCACCATGGCCGCACCGGGGTCGAGCTCTTCGATCAGCCCCGAGACACCACCGTTCACTTCGCCGCTTCCTCCGTTGGCATCGCAAGGAGACGACGCATCCAAGCAGCAGCTCTTTGGCATCAATCCGCGCCTAGAGCACCTCCTTCCATCCTCACCGAATCTCGCCGCCGTGGCCAAGTTCCGCTCTATGCAGCAACAACCGCGACCAGTACCCTTCCCGGCGTCATGGGCCCCACCAGCGAGTTCGCAGTGGACCGTTCCTCCTCCTCCGCCACTCGCTGGCCTTCCTCGGTGACCGGAACACCAAGTTCGGCGAGCGCTCGACGGCCGCCGACCACCTCTGCTATGCGTGCTGCTGCTGCTGCTCGCAGGCTGTCGGCGTGCTGCTGCTGCTCGCTGTGGCCGTGGCCGCGTCGGGATGGAGAGAGATGAGGAGAGGGGGAAGAAGAAGATGACATGTGGGGCCCGCGTGTCAGTGACAGGGGAGATGAAGTATACGTCTTCGTATACGTCTGCAGCTAGGCCCAGGCTGTGTCCATACGTATTCAGTGGTATTTTTATGGAAAACGAAGAATTGTAATGGCATGTTTCCAAATAGACGAATAGTAATGGCGTTTTTCAGAAAAAAAAATTTATAATGACATAGATCCAATTAACCCTATAAACAATGGGTGGCAAGAAACAAAGAGAACAATCAAACAAACAAGAGGCGACGTGTTAGCATTGCATGGAAGCAACCTCGCTGAAATGGCTCGGCCGGGTCGCTCTCGTGTGACGCTATCCACAGTGACAGGCCAACCGTGAACCAGTCAGCTAAAAGTGTCTGTTCAGACTTCAGAGATGTACATCCTCCTTCCTTTCCAAAATATTCGTCGTTTCCGTTTCTCAAGAAACAACTTTGACAAAATATATATTAAAAAATATTAATATTTATGGTACGTAATTAGTTTGAATCTAGTTTTTTAATAAATTTATTTAGAGATACAAATGTTACGTTAATTTTCTATAAATCGAGTCTGTACGGAAATCAAAAGCGACAGATGATTTGAAACAGAGAAAGTATATGTTACGATAAACGGGCCTTTTCAAATGAGCCCATCTTGAAACCCATAGTCTAGGAGCAAGAAGTCCTGTTACAAGTTGCCAAGTACGATCGGACAGCGCAGGTTTGTTCTTCCTCATCCTCGTCTCCTCGTGCTGCTGACTCTTTCCGCTCTGGAGCAGGCGAGCAGCAGTGGCTCATGCGGCAGAAGCGAAGCTACGGGCGCGTTTGGTTAGGGCGTGTTTGGTTCACTTCCCAGCCCAGCCTGGCTCGCATCAGCCAGCCAGGCCCTCTTTGGCCAGGCTGAGCGCATGCAAGGGGTGGTTGTTTGGTTGACTGGCTCCCAACAGCTTGGTCATATGCAGCCGGTGTTTGGTTCTCTGAACCTGCATCGGACTCAAATTAAGAGGATGCAGGAACCATGTTTAGTTGCCTGCATAGAAGCTGGTGGAGTTACCACTTTGTTTTAGTGGTAAGGTTACCACCAATAAGTCCAAAGTTTGCTACAACACTTTGTTTGCAATGAATATTACATCATTTTGGAAAGCTAAATTAAAATTACTAAAGCCCGGACTAATATTATTACACCCTCCACTAAAATTATAATATCCTCTCAGCTGTGACCTTCCTTCTTTGCAATGCATACCGCATGCTCCACTACGAACATGACATCGGCTTCATTTTTTCTTCAGCCTTTAGACCATGGAATGACAAACAAAAAATTAAAGTTCATCAATGACATAAGGCATGTGCTCAGTATAATAAACCAAAACATCATTGGCATAAGGCATATGCTCAGTATATATAAAAAAAACCTCATCATTGACACAAGACATGTGCTTAGTTTTAAAAAACGTCATCATTGGCATTAGACAAAAGCTCATATTGAAATGGTCACATCATTGGCAAACAAGATCAGATTAGTTCTCAGATCATCAAGTTCACATCAATGTCAACACAGGCAAAAAGAGATGCACCAGCTAGGTAAAGAATGCAGGCTCAGGTATAAGAAAACAAGCATCACAGGCAATGGACATGTGCTCGATATAAGAAAACAAACATCATAGGCAATAAGGCAAGTGCTCGAATGATGAAATTGTGCAAATCACAGTGCAGTGGTGGGTGCCCATATCAAGTTCGTAACCACAAGGTTCACATCTTTGGCAATGGACCCATGGTCGATTGCCACCACTAGGTTGATCTAGGTTGTAGGTGCAGATTATCTAAGACACTAACTATATGTTAGTGTTAGTAAGTAAGCTATGCAGGATCGGATCAATCGCACAAAAGAGAAGGTCAACCCACTACACATCCACCAAATGTAGTTAGGTATGCACAAAAGAGGCCACCATCGCACAGTGAGGGGCGAGGCCTTCGCATCGAAGACCACCATGATAATGCAGAGCCTCGCACAAAAGGATCAACCTCAAGCTGTGAAGCCTTCACATGTAGTAGTGCTTGGCCAAGTAGGTCCTTAGCCACAGCTCACGGTGGGAGTCAGACATCTTGACAAAAGCTGAACCTAAGGCCTTGTTGTCCAGCAGATGGCCATAAGCACACATCGCTTCATCAAATCAAGCTTCGCACAAACATAACAAAGACCATACAAATTCGGGTGGGAATCCTCAACCTTGGTCGACCTAATAGCATCAGCAACATCCTTCACTGCCTCTGCCATGCCAGTGAATAGAACAACATCCTCTTCTGCCAGCATGGATCTCTTCCTCTTATTACCAACTCCTTCCTCACTCTTGGTATCCTCAGGAGTCACAGTCTTGCCACACTGCTCAGATCTCGAGTCTTGATGAGCTCTCAAGATACAGATCGGATGGTGTGCCAAGTGGCTCATTGGAGCCCATAGCCCACTTGCTGTTGCCTGACCATTGGCAAAGATGACCATCATCTGCTTGTAGTGTTGTATGGGCTTGTTGAGCAGTGGAGCATCATTGGGGTGGTCCTACATAATGAACTGTCCCTTGTTAGCCATAATGACAAAATGATTCAAAGAGTCATCTAACAAATCAAGTTGTAGTATCACAGGTTCTTGCTCACCTTGGTATGACCATTGTAGTGTTCCTCCTCAAGAACAATCATGCATTTGTCCTCATCCCACTGAGCTCCACTAAGGTCCCTCAGCTTGGACAGTTTCACCCACCTCTGCCTCCATTTCCTCAGGTGGTTGTACACCTGGGTACCACTAACTTTATGACCACAGAACTCTTGCAGGGCCTTTGCCACCTTGTTCAGGTGCACTTCTTTGAAGCCCTTATCAGTCCTCACTCCAGTGGTAATGAGCTGGCACATCTGCTTCAGCACAAAGGCAGACATGGGCTCAGTCCACCTCAGAGAGGTCCTCTACTGAGCAGGTTCCTGTGATGCTGGTATGAAACCAGTCACATCATCCCTAGCAACCACATTGTCACCAGCCAAAAGACCACCATCCAGTCCAGGGAACACAACCTCATCAGCAGGCATCATCTTCTCAGCCATAGCCTAATTCATCATTGCACAAGCCTAGAGCCTCAGCACAGGTGTTTTGTATCACAGAAAAAAACATCATTGCACATGCTCAAAGCCTCAGATCAAGTGTAGTATCATAGAAAAAAACATCATTACACATGCCCAGAGCCTCAACACAGGTGTTTTGTATCACAAAAAAAACATCATTGCACATGCCCAAAGCCTCAGATCAAGTGTAGTATCACAGAAAAAACATCATTGCACATGCCCAGAGCCTCAGCACAGGTGTTTTGTATCACAGAAAAAAACATCATTGCACATGCCCAGAGCCTCAGATCAAGTGTAGTATCACAGAAAAAACATCATTGCTATTGCCCAAAGTCTCAGATCAAGTATAGTATCACAGGAAAAAACATCATTGCTATTGCCCAAAGTCTCAGATCAAGTGTAGTATCACAGAAAAAAATATCATTGCACATGCCCAAAGTCTCAGATCAAGTGTAGTATCACAGAAAAAAATATCATTGCTATTGCCCAAAGTCTCAGATCAAGTGTAGTATCACAAAAAAAACATCATTGCACATACCCAAAGTCTCAGATCAAGTGTAGTATCACAGAAAAAAACATCATTGCTATTGCCCAAAGTCTCAGATCAAGTGTAGTATCACAGAAAAAAACATCATTGCTATTGCCCAAAGTCTCAGATCAAGTGTAGTATCATAGAAAAAAATATCATTGCACATGCCCAAAGTCTCAGATCAAGTGTAGCATCATAGAAAAAAACATCATTGCTATTGCCCAAAGTCTCAGATCAAGTGTAGTATCACAGAAAAAAATATCATTGCACATGCCCAAAGTCTCAGATCAAGTATAGAATCACAGGAAAAAAACAGCATTTGTCCATGAATAAAATGAAGTACAGGCAACTTAATGATACATAATAGAACTCTAGATTCTAGAAAGACCCCTATTAGCCCACATGTGATTAGCCCATTCATCCCTCTGAAGTGCCCAGGCAGCATTGTCATCTATATGAGCAGGATGGGGCTGACTGTTTGTGTCATTTGGTACCCAAGAGAACTCTTCTGGAATAACCTCATCAACCCCAAAACTAAGGATCCAGTTATGCATTATACAACATGCAAGCACAAGCTTGATTTGTGTCCTCAAGCGATGGAATGGTTTGTTGGTGTCAATGATGCGAAAACGGTTCTTCAGAGCCCCAAATGCCCTTTCTACAGTTACTCTCAAACTAGAGTGCCTCAAATTATACAACTCTTTTGGGTTGGTTGAGTAGTTCCTATTCCCATATTCTTTAAGATGGTACCTACAACCTCGATAAGGAGGAAGAAATCCAGTGCCGACAAGCATATCCAAAGATCTACTAAGAAGAATTTGCCTAAAACAAATGTGGAGTTCAATTAGATTCATCATTTTGCGCTTACATTTGCTTCTTATTATCACAGATTGATTTAATTACAGGTGGAACCCTCAACCCATCCTCTCTCTCAGAATGCATCAGCAAGAATTGTGGCATCATGAGTGATCCCTCCCAACCAAAGACATAGGTAAATTTCAAGTCAAAGCTAACTGCTGCTAGCACATTTTGTGTGGGGGCATTCTTTCTACCCCTAAATGCAGCTTGCATCTTGGCTGGAACTTTGGCAAATACATGAGTCCCATCAATGGCCCCAATGTAGTCCTACATGGCATCCAAAATTGCATAGTAAATTGACATGAGCTAATGCAACAATATCCTAGCAGCTATATGACAGTTTTTTTTACCTTAAAGTAAGGATACCATCTATGGCTGTTGCTAATCTTTACTGATGTCTCATTGCTTGGAGGTCTAATCATCTCTTGTCTAAGCTCACCAATAGCATACAACACATCTTTAAAATGGCGGTGGACTATCTCTATAGATCTTCTCCAGTTTTGCTTTACAACTCTAAATCGTTGGTTATGACCAACAATATGGAGAAACATTGCAACTTGCTCTTCAACACAAGAATTTATGTTGTCAGCAAGTAGCTTCTTCTCCCTAAGCAAGTTGCACAAACTAAAAAAGGGTGCCCTTCTCATTCTAAGCATGTTCACACACTCTATATCATTGTAGTTGTAAATTAAGTTCAAGTTTCTTTGGCGCTCCTCATCCCTAATGCTCATTGGACCATAACTGATCTGAGGCCGCTGACTCTGAAGCATTCTAAGTCTAGCAAACAGCAGGGCATACATAGCAGTGATAAGAGCAGCAGCACGAGCAAAAAGAATGCGTCTCTTCTCTTCCAAGTTCATCTAGAAAAAATGAATGGAATTTAAGGACAAATGCTCAGAATGACAATGTCATCATCATGGACTTGGACAAAAAGCTTAGAAAAAGGATTCATCATATACTAGAACATGCTAAAAATAAGACTTTCATCATCACAGACTAGGGCAATAGCTCAGAAAAAGGCATCATCATAGACTAAGGCAATAGCTCAAGACAAAAGGAATCATCATAGACTTGGACAATAGCTCAGACAAAATGGCAACTTCATATACTTGCTCATAATATCACAAAGTAGGACATGCATCCGAATCCAAGAACGCAGGACTCACTATCGCACGGTACAGATTAGGGGGGAGGCGAGAGGGGGAGTAGATATACAAAATACCCACGTCAACAAGCAGCAGCACCAGCAAAAGCCCAACCCAACAGGTGAGGGAGCTCAGATCTGCAAGCACACAAGCAAAGAAAAGAGGATTAGCATACACAAAATAGGATTTTTACTTGAAAAAAACAAGAAAACAAAATGAGACCTAAGAACAAGGATCCATACCGCAATAACAGCCAAGAAATCAGATCTGGTGTGCCTGCAGCGAGATCAACAAACAATGGTGACCTAGGGTTTCAAATCGCACAGAAAAATGGAGAAAGAGAAGGGGAAAAACTCACTTGCTTCGAGATGACGCAAATCCATGGCACTTGCAACAAATCGAGAGAGAGGGTAGGCATTAGGAGGCCACGAATCCATCAAGAACACTGGGGGGAGGAGGAAGAGGAGGTGGAGCTTACCGGCGACGCAGACGGGGAGCGATAAGAAGAAGAAGAGAGGGAGGCGGCGGGAGGGAAGATATATAGGCGGTGAATGGCGGGAACGGAGGAGGTAACCCTAGGATCTTCGCGTCATCTCCCCGCGCACGGAATCGCCAGGCGCGCAAGCTCGCGGGAGCACGGAGCGAGCTAGGCTGAAGAAAAACGGCCGATTTGGGCGTTCCTCGCGAGCCAGGCCAGGAGGGGGCTTTTGCACGAGCGGGGCCTGGCTCGGGAGGATGGCTAGGGAACCAAACATGAGCAGGCTGCATCCGGAGAGCCTGGTTTGCCCTTATGCGGCCAACCAAACACCCCCTTAGCTTCTCAGATGAGCCAGGCTGTACCTGGGCAGCCAGGCTGCAGGTAGACAGGCCGAGTGCATGCACATGGACGGTGTTTGGTTAGCTTCTCAGATGAGCCAGGCTGTACCTGGGCTGCCAGGCTGCACGTAGCCAGGTCGAGCGCATGCACATGGCCGGTGTTTGGTTATCGTACTCACAGAGCCTGGCTATTCGGAGATTTCGTTTAGTTCATTGCATGCTAGCATCTGCTGTCTCACTGACATGTCCCGTTGCATGCTTGCTGTGCTCGCGCGAGCCTGGCCGCGGAGGAACGAGGATTTTTGGCATATGAGTTGAGCCTGGCTCACGAGGGAATCTTGCACCGCATGGGACAGACCCTAACCTCCAACCAGCCAACCAAACGCTCGGAGCTGCATCCGTAGAGCCTGACCGTGGCGTATGCAGGTAACTAAACGCGCCCTACATGATCCGCAGTGGGTGGAGCCGCAGCTCACTAACCTTTAGAATTGACAGCTTATGCAATGCACCCGCTCCACAGAAACTTCTGCACGCCCTTGTCTCAAACTCACGCTCGAATTGGTGGAGAATGTGCTGCAGGCTGACTAGCTAAGCCGTGTCCCAGCACCAAGAACCGAACATGCTGACCTAGTACCTGAAGGTGGCTTCAAACGAGTAAGAGCAACACAGGCACAGGAAGCAACACACACTGATCTAATCCATTGCTGGTGCTTCCCTTCTCTTCTCTTCTTATTAGTCATGGTTCGCTAGTCGCCAATTACACCCTTAGGGCCCGTTCGTTTTGAGCGGAACGGAGTGCCGGAACCGATCCCGGCCGGAAGGCAGCTGTATTTTATACCGGTCAGCTATCACCGGGAAGCGTTCCGACCGGAAATCGACGTAAACGAACGGGCCCTTAATTATTCCTCGGAAGGGCTCAACAGACTGCCGGTGGAGCCCTTCAAGTCTTCAACAAGTTCACATCTCACAATCTATCAAAGTACCAAAGCAAAAGTGCAAAATGGACTACAGGTTGACAGCCACAAAACAAGAGCTACAAGCCTACAAGTGCACAATTCTTGTTCTCACCGCAAACCGCCAACAGGACAGCCACAAAGAGAAGAACAGAACATGCACAAGTTCACAACTAATGTACACACGTAAACAAAATAGAGGTGATAATGAGGCACTCAATAATTAGTAAAATGGATCCCAAATGAGGTGTGCCTCTTGTCTGGGCCAGCCGTGCCAACTGCCGTGCGCCCGTGCCTGTGAGGTGTGCGCCGTCTGCGCCCGCTCGCGTGATGGTGAGGAGCAGCCGCGCACGAACACCGCGGCCGCCCGATGCAAAGCCTGCGCCGCGGCTGCCAGATTCGCGCCAGCTGCCGCAGACTCCCAGAACCAGAGTACCTCCTGGCCAGGCCACTGGCCAACACAGCTGCGAGACCGCGACACGACTCGCGCTGCCCAACCCCTCTTTCTTCCCGCCGGATTGACGGAATCGATCGCTCCGCTCCCACCGGCCACCACCAGTCCACAACACCACGGTATCGATCCCCGCGCCGGCCGGCCGCCCGCATCCACCGCACAAAACCCTAGCCATCGCCGCACCCTCACCCGCCATCATAAACCCCGTGCTCCCCACCTCGTATGCCCGTTGTCCCCTTCTCCTACCTCCGCATTGCGCGAAACCCCATCCGCCTCCGCCTTCTCCTCCCCGCCTCCGGTGCTCGCGTCACCCGTCTCGCCATGTCGACCACGCCGGCGGCGGCGGCTACCATATCCGTCGAGTATGCCAAGTCCGGGCGCTCAACCTGCAAGGGTTGCAGCGGGGCCATCGCCTCCGGGGCGCTCCGCCTCGGCGCCTCTGCGCGCGACCCCCGTGGCTTCGACGCCACCAAGTGGTACCACGTCTCCTGCTTACCCTCCTCGTCGCACCCGCTCGGCCCCATCGAGAGTATCAAGGGGTTCGACTCCGTTAAGGTTCGCTCATTGGGTGGTTAGTTTCGTGACGTTCGTCATCTCATTCTGTGTTGTTCTGGGGATTAATACGTGGGGCTTTGGGATTGCAGGACCATGATCGTGAGGAATTGCGAGAGCTAGAGAAGGTAATGCGCCCTTTACTCGTTGCAATGGTTGTTTAGCCACGTAGCTTTGCTACAGATTTGGGTAATGTAGAATAGTTTTGACAAAATTTGTGGTTAATAATGCCGAGTAAAGAAACACCATATATGTACAATTCATTCCTAACATTTTCCCACTCTATGGCACCCCTGCTTGTAGAATGATGTGTTTATAGTCAGATAAGCGTGTGATAAATCAAAAAGAATGGACCACACTGAATCTCTTGTTTGAACAGCAGCACTTGGATGATTAACTGATGATTAGTGTTTTTTTGTCGCGATCCCATATTTAGCAAAACAACATAAGTGATTCATTTTTTGGGGCAAATCTTTACCGACTCCGAAGGGCAGGCCTGGTGCAAGCGGTAGAGTCTTACCGCCTGTGACCGGAAGGTCCCGGGTTCGAGTCGCGGTCTCCTCGCATTGCACAGGCGAGGGTAAGGCTTGCCACCGACACCCTTCCCCAGACCCTGCACAGAGCGGGAGCTCTCTGCACTGGGTACGCCCTTTAAATCTTTACCGACTCCCGTGACAATGAGAACAACTCATTTTCAGAATCATAAAAGAGACAATCCTGCAGTCAGCTCTTTGGAGGAACCAAGTCCAAAGACAGCAAGGATTCAGATGTCTTCACCTGCAGAGGGGGTGCCAGATAAGGTAACTGTCTCTGTTGAGTACGCGAAGTCTGGCCGCTCTACCTGCAAGGGCTGCAGCGAGAATATTGCCAAAAGTGCCCTCCGCCTTGGTGCCTCTGTTCATGATCCCCGTGGCTATGAAAATACCAAGTGGTATCATGTTGTGTGCTTCCCTACATCATCATACCCATTATTTCCAATGGAGAATCTGAAGGGGTTTGATTCAATCGAGGTATGTGCCTTTTATTTTGCAAAGCTTTTGTGATTTGTTTTCCATATGGAGACTAATTTGTAGATTTGAGTTGCATGCAGGATCATGACCGTGACAAGTTGCGCAAGTTGGAGGAGGTAACAATCTGTCACTCATACAGCTAGCTTAAGGGCACATTTGCTGGCCTTGCCACCTCTTGCTTTGCCTGGCTTTGCAACAAACACAGCGTTTGGTAGCTTTGCTGGTTCCCTCGGTTTCTGAGCTTTCAAGGATTTTTCTTGCCAACTAAAAAGTGAGCCAAAACTGCTCTCTCACGCTGGCAAGCTTAGCCTTACTGGGTGAGTTGAGGTTAGCTGGATGGGTAAAACAACCAAACGTGCCCTAAATCACGTGTCATTCTAACTATGAAGTATATACCGCAGGGTATGCGTATGCTCACTAGTTTTTAGTTTTTGTAAATATGGAAAAGTGTGGTCTGTGTTTTAGTCCATGAAAGGAAGATGAAGGATTCTTTCCTCAACCGAACCCCTTGGAGTTGTAAAACAATGCATTTACTTTACAGTTGATTCCAGTTCATCCTGTCTATTTTATAATATTTTCTGTGAATTGTGGTATTTTATGTTTGATTTCTTAGTTAGATTCACCACATTCGTTTGCAGAATCACAAGAGTGATAGAAATGTGGCTGATGAATTGAATGAGTCAAATCTGAAGAAAGAAATGGTTAGACTTCAATATGAGCATTTTGGAGTTGACTCTATCCCCCTAAAACACCTTTTGATGTATCTTTCCTGCATTGCTTAATTTGTTTTAGGCTCGCAGCATGGAGGACTCAAAAGAAGGTGCTGACAAGGATCTGGAAGGTGTAAAGGTGATCACTTGTACTAGAACTGCCGCTAAGCATTTGATAGTATCTATAGAGAAGGCATGCACGAAAGATTTAACAATATAGATGTCGAAAGATCGTGCTTACAATCGAATCAATCTGCAGCAATATGTGCTACAGGAGGACAGATGTAGTAAAAAGTCAGTGAATTAATAATGTTGTATAAGTAACATGTCTGTCACTTCTCATTACTTGATTTCATCTAGGTTCACTGCATGGGGGAGTCTGAAGAAGGTGCTGAAAAGAACCTGGAAGAAGCAAAGGTGATGTGTGATCTGAATATCTGATGTTATGATGCTTTCGGTTTTGGACTCTATCTACCTTTGATGATAACTATGGAGAATGCAAACACACAAAAATTTGATGGCAACTCGCCAACTCTGTTTTCGAATACAGCATTTAGATTTATTTATTCAATTTTGAATACTCTTAGTTCTGTGGTTTTCCTGTATGTTGTCAGTCATTAGAGTAGTTTCCTTCAAGTCTGGCACTCAGCCAGGCTGTAAATACTTTCCTTCTATTATGAATCGGTAAATGACTGGCATATTTTCTTCAAAAAAAAAAACCCTGCCGCAAAGCTCAACATCTGATTCTTCTTCTTTTTTCTCCTAGAAGTTGCCTGCAGGGAACAGAACGATTGGTCCATCGATATCCTTTTCACTTTCTGATATCAAGAAAGAATACAAGGTAACCTTGTCATTCTTAACTACTCCTGTCCTTAGGCTGCTGCTGCTGCTGCTAAGAATTATGCTCCCTATATCTTGCCATGCCTTTTTTTTTGTGCAAGCATGTTATTGAATTGCTACATATTCACCTTCTTTCTGTCTGTTGATGTAGGATGCTACCCTTCCTGCTCATTGGAAGGTTTTTGATACAGTTATCTTCCGTGAGCAGGTGTGTTGATACCTATGTCATACTGTTTCTGGTTGTAAGGTCCTAATTTTTTATTAAAAAAACTTCCTTTCAATTGTTGTTCAGGAAGATGGCCTTCATGCTTCATCTAAGATTGCTGCATTTGATTTTGATGGATGCCTTGCCAAGACCAGTGTGAGGAGGTATTGTGTTTCATAAGATATACAAGCTGGTTTCACTCTAAATGGTATTCTAGATGCTTCCACTGCGAATATTATTTCCCCTATTCGGTCGTTTATTATGGAGACACATTTGAATTGATTTAGTAAATAAAGGCTTTAAATTACTGATTTATTTCTTGAACAAGATCATAACATTAAGAAGAAAAGAAGGGGATAAGAACAATAAACGAGAATAAACGACCTCGACCTATGGAAAGGTGGTGGCCCTATTCACCATTTGGTGCAAGGGCACGGAGAAAGGTAATGCCCTTGGCCCCAGCCACACCCCAATCCAATAGCTCCTCTCTAGCAGCCTAAGGCCCCAACTGGATTAGGAGAGGCACCATCAAAGACACAACGATTGCAGTACTTTAAAACCATCCAGGCTCCCAGAATAACGATGGAATTAAGTCCTTTCTTTATGTGACCACTTATTCTTTCTTCAGCCCAAGGCTTTAAATTACTGAGTTGTGTAATTAAAGTTAGTCTGAAGTTCCTGCAGTTGGATAAAGAGGAATTGTCAGACATTGCCATCTATTAATAAATTAGTACTAACTAAACGTATAGCATTATACATTTGTAAAAAATGTGAATGCCAATAAGTTGGAAAACTGGGCGATCCTGAATTCAATGCAAATCATTCATGGCATATGGTTTTCACTTCTGGGTATTCCTAGGGAAACCTGTAGACATCCACATAGTAATTTTGAAGAGCATTGGTCTCTTAGATTTCAACTTCTCTTAAAAACTAGACCCCTAGGGGAAAGGCCTCCCATGAGGCATTGCTTTAAGAAGAGGATCTCAACACTGGGCCGAGAAAAGGGACTGAAGGCTGGACCGCCCAGGAACATGGCATTGCACAATGAGGCCCTTTTTTGTGAGACTACAGGGTTTGAACCCTGTTTGTTGGCGTCACAACTGGGCATACCTCTGTGCTATCAGTGTGTTGTCAATTTCTCATTTCGAGGCCCCTTCATTTGTCAACCTTTTCCTTTGGTGTCCTTAACTAATAAGCCAGATATCTTTACAAGCAAAAGCGCCAACTGTCTATAAGCATCTCTATGGAAATTATTGACACCAGACCAACCTAGAGTTTAGCCATGAAATGTATTATGCTTGACTTTTCGATGACCTCTATCATAATGATTAAGAGCCCTCTTATGGCTTATTGTTGCGATGTTCTCCCTAGTTGATGATTTCTTACATGTCTACTTTCTGACCGCTGTTGCTATAATAAGAACTTGGTTGATATTTTTGAACCTACTGCTTGTGCAGGGTTGGTGCAGACCAGTGGTCTTTACAGCATAAATCAATTCCAGAAAAATTGCAAAGACTGTACAATGATGGTTACAAGCTGGTTAGTAGGTTTCTTTTCACCAGTTCTTTTAAATCCTTCACTTCTCGTTTTAATTTTGTAAATTTGTGTTTTTATGTTCTGATATATATATCTTAATTAATGTAATTAATTATGTAGTGCTTTGATTTTGGTGGCTTATACTGTATGTTGTTTTTAGGTCATATTCACCAATGAGTCAAACATTGAGCGCCATAAGAACAAGCGACAGAAAGCTGTTGACTCCAAAGTTGGTCGCCTTGATAACTTTATTGAATGTGTTAAAGCCCCTATTCAGGTATGCTGTAAACTTGTTTTCTTTATCTCAAATCTGAGCAGCCATTCAAATAAAAAAGGAATAAAGAAATATATCTGTTATTTTAGTTCCTGATAACTGAAATGGGCATTGCCCTATAACTTAAATCACTTGATCTTATTTACAGTCAGTTTGTGGCTGCTGTGCTGTGCAGTACTAACTATTTTTCTAAAGATGCCATAGAAAAGCAGTTGTAAAAAAAATTATACCTTGTTTAGGAAACCAAATTAAGTTTTAAACTCAGTTATACCACTGTTGTCTCTGTCACACTTGGTGAATCCCATTGTATCTATTTTTGCAATCTAAATTAGCCAAAATAACTTCGTCAACTAAGATTATGAAAAGCAGTTCCGGCAAACAATATTATTGCAGCTCACCTTAATGCCAAATGTAACTTTAGTCTGCTATTTTTTAAGACACAAACATAGAACCTGGAATACCTGTTTTTTTTTTTCTTCTGTGATACTATACTCAGAATCATGAAACTTGTGCTCTGGAGATGTAAAATATCTATGATATTTCAAGATTGAGTTCCGAGTATTCAATTCTTTACCAGTGGATACAGCATTCCAGTTTGTGGAAAAACATAGGTCAAGTACATTTTATTAGAATGTCACTACAAGAGGAGTGGGCATAACGCTGCTACTTGAGTCGCTGAGGTATCTGGTTTAGCTTATTTGGACCAAAAAGCACTGATGCTCATTATCATCTGGGGGTTCTTGTTATGCTCTTTATTTTTATTTTGTTGGTCCCTACCTCCACTACCCAAAAGGAAGACTCTGCTCCAGGACTCACGGTCCCCATAGTCTGAGTTTGCTCAAATAGGACTTAAGTTTGCCTTTTCAGGTTGGGTCATGCCCTTTTAGGCCTTGAAGTTCATCCCTAAACCAAGGGGATTTGAGGGGATTGAGTGGGCAGTCCCCTCCATTCCCTCCCAATCCCTTTGGTTTGGGGATCAAACGAACAAGGCTCTGCGTGTTCGAGAACAAAAGGTAGTTCTATAATTGATTAATTTGATTTGCACCTGCAGGTTTTCATTGCTTGTGGTTTAGGGAAAGGAAAAGATATTCCAGATCCATACCGCAAACCAAATCCTGGAATGTGGTGGTTGATGGCTCAGCATTTCAATTCTGGAATCGAAATTGACATGGATCGGTAATCACCTATTCTCAGATAATTTTTCAGATTTTAAGAACCACGCCCTTTGGCAGAGTCATATAACAGTTTGAAAAAAAAACTGCACCTCTCTTTGAATGAAATTACACAAATATACACTTTAATTCGTGGTCAATATTTAATCGGCTGGAAACCTGGAACCACTCACCTGTTTCACAACCTTACCCCTGTTTCTGTTTGTTGATATGGAAGTAGTTTTCATGCAGGATAAGGGCTGACATGTTAGTGGATTGCAATGGTGTGCACATAAAAAAATATACACGTTTCGTTTCTTAAATTTATTAAGTATGTTATTTGGCATGGTTTGAATGTGTCTGCAGACTGCAGCACATATGCTTGCAAGTAGCAGGCATTGATGTGCCTCGTCTTGGAGGGTCTACCTAATCCCAATCACAAGGAATGGTTCTCGATGACGCTTGTGTCAAGCCTTAGTAATTTCTTTGGATTTTTGCCCTATATATTGAAAATAAAGCAATGTTAGATGATAAGGGTAGGAACCTGTGGGGGTCTTTCAGATGTTGCGATAGGTTTGAGCTTGAAATAACTGCAATCATAGATTTGCAATGCTTTTGATGAGGACTGCTGCTTTGTTGCTTTGACCCTGTAGTTCTCTAGTCGACGTCACAATACAATAGTACATGCTTTACTTGCTAACATGCATGTAAGTAGCACAATATGTTTATAATATATGATTTATATGTGGACAATGTTGTTATGTTGTTGTAAGATACCCAGTGTTGACCACCTCTCCAAGGTGGTTGGCTGGTTGCCACACGGGAGCATGTATTACAGTATTAGAGATGGGCTAAACCCACACGGAAAAAGGAGCCCAGACCAATTTACCATCCACTCATTTATAGGTTATAGGCTTGATCAAGCCTAAATAGGACAGACGTTATTTTCTATTTAATTGAATAATAGGTGACTAGCAATCCCCACCTTGGCCTTGTGGATTAAGCTTTTGGTCACACTTGGGGACACAGTAAAACAACCCCCTTATTTTTCTCTATTTGATGCAAAGTTATCCAGAAGCTCCTCTTCTGACATGTGCCCTATTATTACAGATCTTTCTATGTCGGTGATGCTGCTGGGAGAGAGAAGGATCATAGTGATGCAGATATAAAATTTGCTAAGGTATGAAAATTCCTGTTTACCTGTAGCAATCAGCAAGCATTTTCCTCCATTGGATTCAAACAAATTGGAAGGCCTCTTGCACTTTACTTGTAATTCAGAGAAAATATAACAACCTGGTTCACAAGGATTATGTAAAGCAGCCAAGGTAGTTAATATGAATCTGATACCGTTTTTAACTTGCAGAGCTGGGTTTAAACCTTTTCTATCTATTGGAAGTTAACATTACGTGGATGCTATGCTACTTCCGGCATAGTTTCAGTCAGTCTTATTCGTAGTTTGTTATGCTTTCCCTTTCTCATGTTTGGGAAAGCCAGAAGCCTTTCATCAGCTGACATCTGTTTTTTCATGTCATAGGCCATCGGTCTCAAGTTCCATGTTCCCGAGGAATACTTCGGTTGCTAGTAAGATGGTTACACTAGTAAGATGGTTACCAGCTTCATTCTGGTATCAATATTGTGGCTATTCTGGTATGGCGATCTACATGTCTGTTATAGACCAGCTTCATTGACGCCTAGTAAGATGGTTACACTACGTCGTTTAGTGTTTGGATGTTATCAATATTGTGGCTATTCTGGTATGGTGATCTACATGTCTGTTTAAACCGTCAAATAATATCCTAGTTATTCTGATGTGGAATTGTAGCGCCAAGTTGCTGACACAATTGAGAAAACTCAACTCTCTATAACGTAGAGGGGTTGAGGCAATCAGGTACTAATCTAATTCAGTGTTACGAGGATCAGCCATAGTGCTGGTAATACGATCATGCTTAGATAGTCAGATCGGTGGATCAATCCATCTACGCCTGTTTAGGTCACGAGCCATGGCGTGGCAATAATGGCAACTTAGGCCACAAATGAAGCATATATAACAAGTAAACCCAAGGTGCTCAAGCCCACGTCGAGATCGGCCTCAAGCCCACGTCGAGATCGGCCTTGAACATAGGCATTGGACCATCGGAGTTTGTATATAGTATACCATTTACCGTCCGCGCATATATAGCTAGGACTGGACGTATTTGAACCGGAGTATAGAGTCGCAGACACAAACAAGCTTATTCTGCACCTCTGGAACTCGTACATCACAGCGCAGCCGGCAATATTCTCGTGTCCCTGAAGCAAGTGCCCATGGTGTGAGCAAAGTAGGCTGGAGCTGGATAGTCCGGTAATAGTGCGCAACACGTCCAAGTGTGCTGGAAACACAGCAAGAGATTGCTGGGATGCATTCGTATTCACATTAATTTATACGAATGGTGTGAGCAAAAAAGGTTATAAAACTTACAACCAAATACTCCTATGTCCTATGAACCAAGACGTCCGAAGTTTTCCTATGTAGCCATTACGGTGGAAAACCCGTCTGCTCGTTATCAGCCCACAAGGTGACTAAAACACTACCATTTTCTTTCGATGGTACTTTCCATGTCGCAAAATAAGTGCACATTATACCTGTCAATGAGTTAAACTCTTTTAAATTTAACTAGTTACTCATCCGGTGAGCTCGTCGACAGGTATAATGTGCATTTACACATGGATCTGGTCTTCGTGTGAGCTCCAAGTGAAGTATGGTTCGTATCGGATGCGGAGCAGGGATCAAGATTTGGTATCACCAGGTAGATGATGGCTTTATAGTCTTTTTTAGGTGTAAAGATATTTAGCCAAACTTAAAAGGTTTCGACTTGGTGGAAAGTTTCATAGCATTGTTCCAAAAACGTAGAATGCAATGAAATGGGGACGAAACCATCAATCTCAATACGCAGTTTTTATTCTTTTGTTTCATAGACATTTTATTTCATAGACATTTAATTGAGTTGAGAGAGTTTCGCTCCATAAAACTCACTTGTTCTCTCTTTTATTTAAAAGTTGTCACGCAATCAACAACTTTGTATAATAGCATATTAAATGTAAATGAAGCTCCCATAGAGAATAGCCTAGGTTCATGAAAATTTTTGTTTGGACCTCTGGCAGCGGGTCGGGTAAGATGTGGATAAAACATTTACATGCCCACAAGTATACCTACCTCCCATAGAGAATAGCCTCTGTATCATCGCTAGACACGACTTTTCTAATTTGTATGAGCAAATGGGGTACAGAAGCGCGACGACAATTTGAAAAGTAAAAAAGTGAGACAAAAGAAGGGTAGTTTAAAAAGTAAAAAATGGATTGGAAGAAACGCTTCGCTCTTTAATATTAGGTAGGGATAGAGAATTTTTTCTTTTCTTTTCATTTGTCTTGTTCTTTTTTTATTTTATTTCCCTTATCTATTTATATCATTGAATATTTTTTGTTTCTTCTTGTTTCTGTTTTTCCTTTTTTTTCTTTTATTTATTATTATTTTTTTTTTTCTCTTTTTTATTTCATTATCTTTTCTATCTATGTCTTTTTACCATTATATTTTTATTTTTCTCTTTTTTATTTTAATAGCAAATGTGTTTGTGCATTGCCCAATACATATTAGAATTGGACTCCATATCATTGCTAAACGCGAGTTGTTCCAACTTTAATGAGCACGGTCTATTAGTCTGGGTCGCGTACATGGTCCAATGCATCTTAGAATCAGACTTCGTATCACGCTAGACTCGAACTATTCTAACTTGTATGTGCACGGGTTATATAAGTCTGGACGAAAAAAACTCTCCATTGGCCAGATAGTTAGAGGGAGGTGGACGAAGAAAATGGTGGAGAGAAATTTTGGCTTTTTAATATTAGGTATAGATATATAGATATAGATTTCTTCTTGTTTCTATTCACTGCTTTTACTTTAAATGCCTTCTCCAAAAATAATGTATTGAACTATTTCTTCTATAATTAATAAGACTATTCTCATTGTATTCGTGAGGTGTATATTATATCTATTGTAGTATTTAATGAGATGTTCCATAATATATTCTATTTTTTTCAAAAATATTCATGTTCCATACATATTGTATTTTGCAATATTGGTATAGTACCTATGAGATACTCCATGTTGTATTTTTTGGTGATTCACTTAGTATCAATGAGATATTTTGTGACATATTTTAGATTGTTCTTATAGTAATCTTAAGATATTCCATGATGTAATCTGGATTGTTTTTCATAGTATTCATATCCACACATTGGGATGTTCTTATAATACTAAAAGCATCTAGGTCCCTATTTGAGTTTCGGTAATTAATGGCAACACTTGTGGAATAACATTTCATGTGACACGTGAAGATTAATAATATAGTCCACAAGGGTGCTTTGAGCCAACAAAAATTTCATGGCATGAATGGATTGAGATGAGCTCAAGACAAATGTATAAGATATGATTTATGTTTAGCCAGCCATGAGGTGATTATGGAGTATTAAATATGCCCAGATTGTTAGGCTAAATGGTCGTACTACTAAGAGAGGAAAATTATATTGTTTAATTTAATAGTTATCTAGTGCCAATTGCGATATCATTCTTTGCATTGTATATAGATTCAAACACTGTAGAAGCTTCAAATAAAAAGATTAAGATCAAGGAGATGAAATTAAATTCCAAAAAATAGTTGGAAAAATTCAGAGAGAGAGAGAGATTCACCTCTTAAACATATTTTACAACATTTTGCACATATAAACACTAGGTGAAACTGGCATGAATGCAACAAATCTTTTATAATGTACGTATTGTAAAAGTTTTTATAAAATCATATTTGTGCGCTCCAAATTAACAAATAAATAAATCTTAGAATGTTTTAGGAAAATCATTAATTCATTTATTTCATTTGTGTTTTCTATTCACAATACATCGAATTTTGGGGTGTAACAATATGCAAGAGTATCTAGCAAATAATGAAGAGTGCTGGCTCCCCTGTAAAGCTTCCAAAAGCTCCTGTAAAAATTGTCGTGCCGTTTTGGGCAATTCTCAATAACCCCCCCCCCTCTGACATTAAAATTAAAAAGATAAGAGTGCTGGTATGCTGGAGTATGTTCAAGTATAGTTTGTTAAAAATTATCCATCTCTGACATGAGCTTAGTTCAGGTCAAACTTTACAATAAGTATACACATTTTATGCGTTTCATAGGAGTAGCGAAAGTAATGGACCCATGTTGCACTCAGCTTACTAGTTTTAAAAAGGGCTACTTAATTAGCGATTGTTCTAAAATAATTATGCTTCGGTATTTTGAAGCAACGTCTTGTGGTGCCTGGAAATTACTTGAGGTAGACAATGGCTACTTTGTATGTATTTCATTGTTATGCAAGTATCAGCCATTTGATCATTGCATAATGTTAGTTTCTATACATGAATGATAAATTACAAATGTACTTTGCCGAAAAACTCAAGCAGCAAGGTCAGCAACACGCAACCAAACGATGATGCTAATTCGGCAAAAGAACCCAACGTGCTGGAGTGGCAAGCTGGGTCGCGCTGGAATTGGTGAACTTGCCAGGCCAGCTTAGCAAGACTGACGTGGCTGACGTGCTCCACCCGGAGTCACTGGCAGAACCAGCCCCCCCCCCCACACACACACACACAAACACACACATGGTCTGTTCGATGGTTGGTTTCTGGGTTGATAAGCCCTGCTGATGCTGGTTTGTTGTGAGAGGAAAACACTGTTGGCTGACTGATAAGTCATAGCTGAAACCAACGAGCGAACAGGCTGACAAAGTGAAACAATTTTATTACCCTATAAAAAATCAATTGAATAGCAAAAAAATATTATTTCACCCAATTTTGTGTTTTTTTCTCTATGAATACTAAATACATATATAAAAACATTGAAAATCTATTGAGACATAATCTTGATATATATTTTTGTCATATTTACGAGGTGTCGTATATTGTTCGGCCCCCCTTAATAAAAAGTTCTAGTTCCGCCACTGCCCGGAGTTCCAGATTGGTGTCCGATTTGAAGAGATTTTTTTTACAACGAGTAATGCTAGTGTGCCTTTCTCAAGCGGTTGGTGCATATGTATAGGAAGGAGAACTCCATACGCCCACATCAACTAGCAATATAGTACTAAGATAACGTTTGGTTGGGAGACAAGGTGGGGTAAGATGGTCATGTCTTTGTTTTGCGGGATGGGGCGCCACCATTTTCTGTTTGGTTGAGAAGGGATGTGAACCTGTTTTCTGTTTCGTTCGAAGACATCAGAAGCGGGATCAACTACTGACCGAGGTGGGGCCCATTTGTCATTTTTTTCTTTCTTCCCCCTCTCCTTACCTCTTCCGTCCGCTGCCTTATCTGCCTCGGGACACGCCTCCTCCGCTCCCGAACCCCCCACGTCCACTGACGAGCTCCTTGCTGCTCCTTCGCCCTGCACCCCGTGCCTCCTCCGCCCCGTGCCCCGCGCCTCCTCCACCGGAGCTCATCGGGGCCGGACATGGCAGCGCGCGACTCGCTGGGGCCGGGCACGATGGTGCGGGGCAAGGCCGCAGGCAGAGCTCGTCGGGG